AAAAAGATTTAATTGTTGTTATTTTTTACATTCGTTTCCTCAATAAATTGTAGGGAACTGATTTATTGTTATTTATTTCCTTATTGGATGTTTGTTATTGATGTTATTTTTTGCATTCAATAAAAGTTGTTTTTAATTGACTATACGTTATTATAAATCAGAAAGTTGTGAAATGTTTCATTCAGTTTTGGTTTGTGAATGAAACACATGTAAGACACATTATTTTCCTCCACCGTGACTCCCAGTTAGTTCGCTTTTTTTTTTCGATTTCATAAATCAAGTTTCTTTCTATTTCCAAGAAAATGAAGAGCTCATTGCGCTTGACCATTAAGCGATTCTCGTTGATCGTTGAACCACTTGTTTCTCGCAGCCGATCGATTTATTGCAACAAACAATGGAACATTAATTCGAAATGACACGAAATAAAAAAGATCTTGCAGACCGCATAATGACGATCATTTTAATTCAACGCGTAAATTAAATTTACGAATGCGCTAATGCATCTTCCATTAGTCCAACAATGACTGCAAAATCCCATTCAATTGATTAGAGACCATTATGCAAATAATTAACATCTCTAACATCTCATATAACATTTCATTCATGTTCAATTTTATTTCTACTTACATACGATGAGGAACAGTTATTTTGCTAAATGAAATCAATGTGCTCGTTGTTGCGGAACGAATATTGAGTTATTTCGTTTTCGAATTCGTCTCCTATCTTTTTCCTACTATCCTCTAGGGCGCTAATTTTTCGAGATGAGCTCGTAAATATTCCGAACCGCTGAACGAAACGGTTATTTTCAACTCAGCAATCCATGCATAAAAAATGTCCAATTGATACCGTAAGCAGCATGTACATACTAGCAACTTCCTGCACTTAAATTCCTCAACTATTCTACGACAATTATTACATTTTATTCGCATTTATTAGTTTTTTTTCGGCTGCCCAGTTTTCGCTTCCTTTATTTACGTTCTTAACTCTCGTTTAAAATCAATTATTATTTATGATGCAAACGCGATTACCGCATAGGCAATCTAATAAAACATCAAACAGATATTTCCTTATAAGCAACTTATCTTATATGCTTATGTAATACATTAAAATTGAATATATAAACAAATTTTTTCAGATATTGTCATTATTAACAAAAAACAGCGATTCCTTGGATAGTGCTGTAAAAAACTGCAGTAATCAAGGACCTTGAAACCGAAAAAAACGATCATTTATGTATTTGTGTACTTATATATTTTTATTTTGCACAATTAAAATTTAGTTTGTTTTCAAATTTTCAAACCGTACTATAGAAAATCCGCACTATTGTAAGCCGTAGTATGCGAGGTATTGATGTACAATTAAAGTTCAAATCATCGCAAATACCGTTCATTAAACCTTTAATCCGAAAAGCCTTCCAATCTTTAATAATCATCAATTTAATTTTAATCCCATTATATTAACTTAAAATTAAATTCTCAATCTTCCTAATTCCGGTCTTTGACCTTCCTCATATATCCTTCCATGTAGTACTTATATTCATTATTTTTAAAATCCTTTCAAAATATTTAATTCTCAATCACTTCAACAAAAACAAAATTAAACATTTTCATACAAAAATATAATAAACAAACAATTTTTTAATATTTTTCAGAAATGCCTTCAAAATGTTCAATTTTTCATTAACTGCAATAACAATTTTCAAAGATTTTTCTATTTAAAAGTGTATGGAAAATATTTTTATGATTTTTATATTTATGTGTTCGTAATTCTTCAACAAATATTTTTTCTATTTAATAGTCTTCAGAAATGATTTTGAATTTTTTTTTTCTAAAAGTTTGTTTCTCACTTTAATGATATACTTAAAAGTGTGCGTATTATTTTCTTGAAAATCATTACAAATTAATTAATTATCATTAAATACCAATCCCTAATCAATAAGTTACTCGCGTGACGTCTGAAAAACTCCGTTAATATAAAATTATTAATTAATTTATATAAATATATAATTGAGGAAAAATAAAAGATGTTAGCTTCAAAGCATGTTTGTTCATCATCACTAATTTCATTTATTTTTTATTTTTATTGTCTGATTCCATTGCTAATTTTTGTAAAATCTCTGCCTCTGGTTTATTTTAAGAATACTTTATTTTTTTCGATATATCTATAAATGATGATTAAAATATTATAAAACCACTACTTGCGTCTTCAATCCTATCTAAAAGTGTGCATGAAACGATTTCTCAATAACTCATTGATAATAAAGTATATCAAAGTGTTGTTGAAGAAATTGTAAATGTAATAATTATAATGATAACCGCAACAAAAGTTTTCCAACCAGTAAATTAACAAAAAAAAATAAGTATCACATACCAGTCTATAATATTATCCGTAATAATGATAATTTCAGTATGAATTATTGACGAAACGAACTAACTTTGTTTTACGTTTAATTAATAATTAATAGTAAAAATATCAATATTAATAAGTACCGTTTATATGTGAGCATCTAAATTGTTCATAAATATAAACATGAACGATGCACTAATGAAACGGATATTATACTAATGAAAAGTTACTGCAGCTTTTTGTCCATTCGCAATGATCAATTTGCAGAAGCCTAGCCTATATACTTCTTATTTGAATACTGATTGGAATTTAATGTTGTTGTGTCACTGGAATTGTTAAATAGAACCAATTATAACAGTTCGTTTCATAAGAGAAGAGAAGAAAAAAACACTCTACGTGTAATGAATAAGTCGTGTATTTAAAAAAAGAAGGAAAATAAATTGATGCGCACGTGAGCAGTAATCTTGCCACTGAGATCAATTAATATCAAAACAATTAGTCGATGGACTCGATATCTGAATTATTATTAGCAATCCAATTGAAATGGGATTGTCGGATGGGGAGACTGCAGCAAACTCGATAATTGCTCAGTGGTCAGAAGTATGTTTGTTATTTCTATTGATCTCCTGGCTACAATTAGTTTGTAGGAAGAAATGTTCGCTGTGTCATTTTACTTCTTCTACAACTACAACTAATTCGATTCACGATGATTTATGCATTTAATAAAAACTTTTTTTTCTGTTTTGATTCATTAGTTTAATTAAACAGTAAATTTCACATCCGCGATGTAATGATTTCATAAAGATTCATATTATCCTCTCTGGAATGTTCTGCATATCTCTACTACGCGTTCGATTACTTAATGAAATTACTTGATCTTCCACGATCTGAAGAATATATTAATCACATATAATTTATCATTTTACATTAAATTAGTCGTTGGGTAGACTTCTAAAATTACGCAGTTAATCATCAATCAATTAAAGTTTTGTGTTGTAATTTAATGCTCTATACTTTAAGAACCTATAAATAGTTAAAATAAAGTCACTTGTGTGATAATTCTGTATAATGATTTTTTTACAGATTTATTCTTGGAATTAGAATATTGGTAGAGATTACTTAAATCAAAGAAATTTGCTTATAAATCGTATTTTTTCCTACAAGATTTGAAAAATTCTAATAAAATTTGCTAGAATGAATGTAAAAAATAATTATTTACTTAAAAATCGTATAGATCACAGTTATATTGGCAATAAAAGTCATAAATATCTAATTTATTAAAAAGTATGAAAAACAAATTTTCAGTAACTTCTGTAATGCATTTTTTTTTTCTAGATGTAGTTTTTTCGAAATATTCCTCAATTAGAAATATATGATTGAATGTATATTAAATTGGTATATATAATTGATTGTAACAAAAATACAATTGAAAAATTCGATAAATAAAAAGTTACTAGAATCAATATGTAAAAAATAATTATCTATTTAATGTTTTGACTTAAAATCGTTTTGAGCACAAGAATAATATCAGAAATGTAAGAATTTTAAATATTAAATCCGAACGTAATGAAAGCCTAATTTTCAGTATTTATGCCAAATAACAGAACTTAACGCTGCTAATGTATTTTAGATGTATTTGTTGGGAAGTATTCCTCGATTGGAAATATACTATATAAAATCAATTAAATCAGGTCGGCAAAGTGCGGCTCTTCAGGACATGTGGCCTTAAAGTAAAATTTAAAATAGAAAGCAAAATCATAATATGTTTAAAAGCTATGCTAAATAATTATATTAACACACAAATAATTATTGTTTCAGGGAGACAAGATTTGTGGCCTTCGAATAATTTTTAAAGTTTTAAGAGAGGTTTGGCTCTTCCATCTCAAAAGTTTGCCGACCCCTGAGTAAAACTAACGAAAATATCAATAATGATAATTATAAGAAAATATAAATATTTCGAAATATTGAAATTAATATGTAAAATGCAAATTTTAAAGCAATTTTCGTTACGATCTTGTGCATAGAATAAAAAGAAAATTGATAATTAAAGCGTATTTTTATGTTTTTGAAAATTTTTTTTTCAGGACTTAATGAAATAAATCTATATCTTAAAAATTTGTTAAAAAAGTAAAGTAAAGAGTTTTTTCCATAGTTTAAATCTAGTTTGTCAATAAAAAATTACCACGCTTTTGTCAATTTTGTTATATAAATTAAGTTTGGGCATTATAAAATTACCAATGTTGTGGTCTTGTCTATACATAGTTTAAATTACGTTTCATTCTATGTGTTGTTATATGGACGAACGTTGAATTGTAGAATGTAGCTTGAAAACAGCTTCTGATATAAACCACATTGTAAAGAACAAAGTTATTGTATTAGACAGGTATGTCCAGTTGATTGTTGCCTGCCTTAGAACCTTTGACCGAACAAAAAAAATGTAGTAGCAATAAAAGAAGATGGTTACAAAAGATGTAGCATGTGTTGGCTGGAAATATGTTTACTATGCATACCACAATTATTCGATTTTAATTACCGGCATGCAACCTAAGACGTGGGCGAGTGCATTTACATAAGAGCGAAACATATTAAACGGCCGTATTAAAATCATTACTGGGATTGAAAAGGCTAATGTTCATGTGGATCTTTTGTTGCAGGTGCTAGGAGGAACTGGATAAGAGAAGAGCTAGCCAACCGAATAGGTGAGTTCAGCAGTCCAGATATTTCCAACTAATAGATTTCTAATTAAACCAGAAAAAAAAATCGTTATGTTAATTTAATTAGTATGAAATAATTATTTACGTTTATTGAACTACTTTTTTAATAGTACTGTTATATTTTCTTTCATTGTTATGATTCAACAAAAAAATATTAATTATAAGTAATGCTATATTAATAAATCTATTTTATATATTGAGTTCAACCGTAATTAATTCTTAAAATTCTTTAATTGTTGTTTTTATAACTAATAAAAAATACATTAATGTTTCAAAAACTATAACAGTTAAATCATGAATAGTGAAAAAATTTATATGAAATCCCATATAAATATTTGCAGCAGTTTAATTTTATTTTAATTATTTCTTTTTATTTTGTAATTTATTGTTGCATTAAATATTATATTATATATTTTTCTATTGAGTTCAAATATAATTAATTCTTAAAAAAGAAATTAATTCCAAGTAATTATTAATATTTTTATTGATAATTTAGAAAAATACATTAGTGTTTGATAAACTAGAAACTAAAACAGTTAACCTTTAACTACTCGCGCACTAAAATTTCTATGCACTACTCGCGCGGTGTATTTTATACACCATATGTATTACTGCCAGATGGAGTGCATACATGATTTTATTACAATAAGAAAAAAATGTCGTGTTTACTAATGCTTCTTTATTGGATTCATAACTATTTGTAATACATTAATGTAATAATTTCTGAATAAGAATTGTCATCATTGCTCTTTATATATTCGTCAGTAGAGGTATCAGCATCGTCCGCTATTAAACCAGAGCAAGAACGAACGTATACAAAAACAACTTCTTTGTGCCACAGTCAACACAATATTGCACCGGTATTTAGTAAATACTTTGAGCATAGGTTACGTTAAGTATCGTAGATGGGAGAAAGAGAAAATATAGATGTGGTATCATTTCTTAGAAAATTGGTTAACTTTTTACACCGGCGCGAGTAGTTAAAAGTGCAGAAATCTCCAAGATTTAAATTAAATCTCTTATAAATATATTTTTTTTATATTGAATTTGAATAGTGCAGATATTAAAAATATTTAAATTAAATCTCATATAAATCTTTTTTTCAATCGAGTCCAATTACTTTTTTTTTGAAATAATAAAAAAATGCATTAATGTTTGATAAAATAGTGCAGAAATTACAAATATTTAGATTAAATGTTTTTAAAATTATTTAATTAATTATATTAATTATTTAATTTAATTATATAATTATTTCATTAAAAAATAAAGTTTCAATTTGAACCATTGCACTACTTTTAATAATATTGTTACATGTTTTTACAAAAAAAAATGGGTAAATCCAATTACAATTTTGATACACGGATTCTTTAATCAATCTCGAAAAAAATTGGTTCAATGTCGAAGCACCTCCGGGCCGTCACGTAACACCTATAAAGAAACAGATACTATCGATAGTTGCTTGGAAATGTGAATGAATTCGCGGTAAATGATATTTTTTTTTTCATTATTTCTACTTCCTTTCATATTTTTTGTTTTGTATATGTAAAATAATCACATTTGCATTTAATCAATGTTTAATTGAAATCCTGGAACTTAGTTTTGTAACCAGCAATTACTGTAATTACAACATAAATTAAATTTACGCATCTTCTTTTCTCTCTTTACTTCGACTGTTAATTGCTTTTCTCGAAAATGAAAATTACAATGGTTTTTTTTTGTTTAGTTCATCCATTCATTTTTCATTGCATTTCATAATTCATCAGTTTATGTATAAAATATAATTAATTCATAGAATTTCTTCCTTTCAATGATTTATGTAGCTATAATGAAAGATGTGTAAAAGTTAACAAAACTTGAAAATAATAAAAAAATATGATTTAAATTTGCCGCCATTTGTGCAGTCAAGTGAAAAAAAACAATTTGACAGCTGAGAGGTTAGGATTAGTAAAATTCTTGCGTTAATTTTGGGACACCCTTTATAACTTGGTGGTCCCATTTCGGTAGGATTCGATTTACTTGTAATATTGGTGTTAAATTAAAGAGTGAAAACATATCGATTATATTATATAATAAAAACTATATAGATTGATATGACATGTAATATTTTCAATAATATATTTTATACATTCTTTAATCTGAGATCAATAACACTTACTGTGCGAGTACATGAAAGAATATTGAAGATTCTGAATTTATCTTGAAATCCATCGAAATAATTAACATAATCACTTAGATGACATGTGTTGACAATTTGAATACTAAATATTTTTATAATAAATGTATGTATTTATAAGATACTTCATATTTGGATCAGATAAATTCGAGTTATTAATATCAATTTATAATATGTGCAGACATCTTTGACTGAAATCTGATAAAAACGAATTATTTATCTTGAACATGGTTTAATCTGCTATAATTCATTTCTTGTAAATAATACAAATTCCATTACTATCATAACTTACAGTAATTGAAACAATAATATCAATTATATCAATTGTATGAGTAAATACATTTGGTAACATAAATTAACACTTTTCTAATGTATTACATAATTATTTATACATTCACTCTATTGGTAGTAACAAAATAAAGTAATAAACAAAATACACAATTGAAATTTCTTCTATTAAACAAACACTAGTAAAAAAAAAAGAAGCAATTACAGCCTCGCATAATGCGGCTTCGAGCAGTCCTGATTCACTAGTAAGGTTTGCATAAATAATAGTTTTTTCAATTTTGCAATTTTAAAGTCCTGGCTTAGTCCGGAGCGTTACCCGCACTATTCGAGGTATGGCTATATTTCTAATCAAATCCTATTAATTAATTACAATGTAACGATTTCAAGAACTTTTCTCCGCTCGATGATTTTATTAAAGTAAACGTTAACCCTGAAACTTCGTTAAGTAAACTTTATTGTCCGGGCATTGGGTCATCGCACTAAAGACAGTTGTCTACAATTAAAGCCAGATCATGTTTCTAGTTTAATGTGAACTAGAACTAGTTTATATAATTTTATTACAGGTTCTTGTTCAGTTTCGTTTCCTCTACAACAATTTGTTTATTAACATTTATGTAAACAATTATAATATGAAATTCAACGAAAAATATACTAATCTATGCATATTTTGTCATTATTATATGTACATATTATTAGAATAGTATTGAATTATATAATAGAAATAACATTTATTGTAAAAATTAGAAAAAAACACAATGATCATTGCAAAATATAACATTATTAGGATGCATTTCTTTAATGGGTTTCATGTTTTATTTTTTTAGTACCTAACATCTGCAATACTGCTTGCAATTATCGGAAATGTAATTGGAATTATACGCGCTAAGCCTTATATATCATTGGGTCAATTGCAACCTTTATTTGGATACATAAGTCAAGCATTTAAAAACTCTGCTTATTTCTTCTATACGATCAATCTGCAGACCAAAAATAGCTGCATTTTCATACCATTCACCTGCTAATGTTAATGTATTGGACTGTAGTAAAATCATTTGCGTTATCTTTGGCGGCACCCATTTTCCCAGCCCGGAAACTTTCCAAAGATTTATCTCGAAACGTATTTCCACACGACAAGTCGTATCTGCTTCCAAGTGATGATAAACTTAAATATCGATGCTACTAGAATTTAGATTCTTGGACTCAATTAGAGAAATTTATGTACTAATAGCTTAATAATTATACAGATATCTTTTTTTAAAACAAGGTACTTTCACAACGCCGTACCAATTCATATAACACGATATCTAAAAACATGGAAAAACCTCGAGTTCTATTCGCTGGTATCGTATTTAACCCAACCAATACGTATAAAACAAAACACATTTTAATATCACAAATTTACTGTCATATGTGAGAAAAACAATCGAAATCTTCAATCATCTAATATGATTTTCCAGCAAAAATACCCAGACATTTCATGTTTAGATTTAGCGTTAAACATTAGTTTTAATAATAGCCATTCAAACTACATGATTTAATAGGAACGTAACTAATGAAGTATACAAGTTATACATGTCTATTATTAATGTCTCATATCAAGAGAATATATAAAGTATTTATAAAACATCAAAGAAAATTTGGTGTACCACAAGGCTTTGACTTCAATACTTGTTTAAAAAAATAATTTGACGGAATTACCTATGGTCAATAGCCTCTTGCAATGATTCATGCAATTAAGTATTTCATACTTTTTTTTGTCTTTAATTATTTCTGTAATATTATGGTTATACTTTTTGTTTAATAATGATGTAAAAAATGATTTGTATACAAAAATTTATAAAAAAAACTTTGAAACAAACAAAGAAGATAAGATTTAATAGCGAAGATCTTGTAAATTAAAATGCTTAGAGTACAGTAATTTGCCAAGTTTTTCATATTTTTCTACATGTTAAACAAAACATTCTTATTAACAAATAATATTAAATTGTAAATCTAATAAATATAGTAAATCTAAAAATTATACATATTAATGAAGCAGATAAAAAAAAGTATTGGAAAACAGAAGCAGCGCACGGTGGTCATCTAAAACGAGAACAGTACGTCCGGCCGGTTATGTAACAGCGTGAAACTCTCATGGGAGCTGGCTTAGCACGAGCCAACCGAACGAGCTTATTATAATAAAGCGTGTTGACGTAAATTTATATTGCCTTTAAATGGGAACTGCATACAACATGCCATACATCTCGGAACGCACAGTGCGATGTCATTTTCAATGCACTCCTATCGGGGCCTGTGTTTTCAAAGGCGCGGTAAATGGTTAAAAGAAAGAACAACAAAAAATTGAGATTACTGAGATGATTGAAGTTGTACTATTTTTTTGTTATTATATATGTATTTATCTTGTTTTACAGTTTTCTTGTTTTTAAAATCAATGGTATTCCTTGTATATAAAATACACTTGAATTCTCAATTGAGAAAAAACAATTTTAGAAAAATCAAGTAAATGCGAATCATAATAAGAAAT